TGTGGTTCGACCCTGGTCTTGCCGGGTTATTTATTACTTCGACACTCCTGCACTTGGGAGAAGACATCAACCTTTTAGTCGTGTCAATAGGCTTTTCTTTAGCTTGCAGACTTGGTTCTTCTTTCCTTGTATTGCAAACCTCTCTAGTTGTTGCATGTAAATGTCTTCCTCCAATTCACTATGTAGAAATGCTATTTTTACATCTAATTATTCAAGATGTAAATTTTCTACAGCTATTATCCCAGTAGAACTCTGATTATTGTGAGCTTCACAACTGGAGAAAATATCTTAGAGTAGTCAATCCTTTTCTTTTATTGAAACCCTTTTACAATAAGTTTTGCCTTGAATCATTTACTTCCATCATGCTTAGTCTTTACTCTGTAAATCCACTTATTTTGCAAAGCTTTCTTTCCTTCGGGTAATGTGGTTAGCTCTCAAGTCTTGTTCTTTAATAATGAATCCATCTCGTCCTTCATGGCTAACTCTCACTTGCTTGAGTTTTCATCTTGTAAGGATTCTTCATAAGTTAGCGGTTCACCACCATATATCAGTAAAATATAATTCAGTAGAAGTGTAAACCATTGTAAGGGTTTTACAGTCCTCGAAGACCTGCGAACAGTTGGTTCAATTGGCTCTGCATCTTCTTATGTAGTAGTGGGTACAGATGTGATTGAATCTTCTTGTAAAGACTCTTGATTGTTGTTCCACTCGGTAACATCAAGAAGCCCTTCTAATCTTATGAATTCAGATCTTTATGGACTTGTATCAGAATCAGTCATATCTATTTCTACACTTGATATATCTTTGTACAGAACTTTCTCACTGAAGATCATATTCCTGCTTTTGATAATCTTTCTATTCTGATCATCCCAAAACAAAAATCCAAATTCTTCATCTCCATAGCCAATGAAGAAATATTTCTTGGATTTGGCATCTAATTTGTTGCGAGCATTAGAATCTATATAAATATAGGAAACACACCCAAAGACTTTTAGATGAGAGAGTTGTACCTCTTTTCCTTTCCATACTTCCTCGGGCAATCTGAATTCCAAAGGAACTGATGGACCACGGTTAATTAAGTAAACTATAGTATGAACTGCGTCAGCCTAGAATGTTTGAGGTAACCCTGAATGCAACCTTATGCTTCTAACTCATTTATTAATGGTCCTGTTCATCCATTCAGCAATGTCATTCTGTTGTGGTGTGCGTGGAATAGGCTTTTCCAGTCTTATACCATTGACAGCACAATACTCTTTGAAACCTCCATCAATGTATGCTCCTCCATTATCAGATTTTGAGCATTTCAACTTTAGACCTGATTCAATCTCAACCATAGCCTTCTATTTCTTGAATGTTTCAAACACATCAGATTTATTTTTCAGAAAGTAGACTCATACCTTCCTGCTGAAATCATCAATGAAAGTTACATAATACTGAGAACCTCAAAGAGATGCTACTGGAGACGGTCCCTATAAATCTGTGTACCAATTCTAGCTTTCTTGGTCTTAAGGTCTTGCCAACCCTTAAGAAACTGAGCTTCTTCTGTTTTTCAAAAACATAACTTTCATAAATGTCTAGATCAATATTTTTTAACTCTGACAGCTTTTCCTTTTACTGAAGTATCTTCATCCCCTTTTGACTCATATGGCCAAGTCTATAATGCCATAGTTATGCCTGATTTTTTACTTCTATAGCAGCAATGATGTCTGCAAATCTTGTGGTCATATACAAGGTGTCAGTTTTCTTTCCACAAGCCAAAATCATTGCTCCTTTCGATACTTTCCACATACCTCCAGAAAAAAGGATTGAGTGACCACTATCGTCAAGCTGTCCAATGGAGATCAACTTCTTCTTTAATCCAGGAACATGCCTTACATTTTGCAAGTTTCATATAGATCCATTCATTGTCTTGATTTGTACATCTCATATACCCACAATATCAATTGGTTGTTCATCGACCAGATAGACTACACTGTGATCTCCAGCAATATAGTTTTGTATCATTTCATGATGTGGTGTACAGTGGAATGAAGCACTAGAATCAAGAAAACTCTTCTCAACTCAACTCTACTCACTCAAGCTCTCTATACTACTCTGTCACGGTTCTCTCTGTGTTTTTTCACTCTTAACCCACAACTATTGACTAGCATATATATATACACTAAGCTAGCAGTGAAGGGCATAAATCATGCCATGATTTATGCCCACCGTTTGCCTACACTTTGTCCTAAGTGGAGAGTAGGTATTCCCACTAAACACATAGTAGAGGTGGGACATTGCTTGTCTCCATATTGCTAACAAAGCTCAGATGGTTCAGGTTGTTGAGGATTCAGACCGGTGATATATTAATATTTGCTCATAGGAGGCTAAGCACACTAACACAATATTTAACGTGGTACGGCAAATTGCCTACATCCACAGGAAAGTCGATATTATTAGAGATAGAGAAAGGATACAAAACACATGCATGGAGAAGGAGAATTACTTCACTCTTACTCCTAGCTCTCTCATGGCTGCCCTTGCAGCTGCTGCCATTGCAACTCTCTCTTTCTCTTTATTCTCTTACACACACTCACCACTCTCTCTCACATTTTGCTCTCAAATAATACATCTATTTATAGGCATCAATGGTAAGACAAGATCTACAAATAATGACATGATTTGTGGCACTAATGGTGGCAGTACATGAGTTGCATCATTTTGTCGATGGTTGATGCAACTTGGCTACACACCTACCATTGTAGGCTTTTGACAATGGCAACTCTACTTTTTAGGGTAGGCTGCAAAGGTGTTGCCCATTAATGGCAAATCCCAACACAGGTGTGTATGATAATTATCCCTAGTTTGTGCCACTCCTTTTTGGTTCTATGTTCTAAATTTCTTCAATGGTATTAATTTTTGCATATTCAGATAATGTTGAAACCACGAGAAAAAATTATTGCAAAACCAAGTAAGGTGATTGAAACTCGATTTTCTTTATGGACATATTTGTGTTAGCTTTTTTTTTTCTTTCCTTTTTTTTTTTTTGATGAATGAATGAACATCATTTATAAAGGAAACAGAAAATTTGGGAGTCAATCCCTACTACAAAGCAAAAGGCAATTTTTTCCATGGGTATGACTCTTAAACTAACCCCCAAATGTAGCAAACAATAACAAAGGAGGTTTCCTAGTGGCATTTTTGCACACGTCGGTATTTTGTAATCTATTTTTAACGATAAAAACTATATTATATACAATATTATTTGTTGATGATGATTGTTTAGAGTGCCACCTGTGTGTTTCTCTCTTGCCATATAAGATCTAGGCAAGCACACCAGGATATCCTTAGGAGCCAGGAGAGGAAGGATTTTTTAATTATTTCAAGTCGGTGCTTTGCCCAATCAAACATCTTTAATTAATTATGAAACAAACATTCCATTCACTATTACCATGCCGCATGGAACTGATACCCAAGTAAAGTGCAGGTTCTATGTGCTTCATGTCTAGGTCCATTGAAATGGAGAATGTTTTAATCCCTGAAAATGAAGTGGGTGTCTGGCAGTGGTTTTTGGCAAGGCTGTTACTAGTGTAATCTTCCGTAATCCTGGTCCAAGTGATGGATTTGTTGGAATTGCTACACCTTCTCTTGCAAGAATCCTCCCAGTTTGTGCTTCTATTATGTGAAGTTTTGAGATGCATTATTTTTTATCTTGTGATGTGAAGCTCATGATCCCAAATTTATAATTTAATATGGCTAGCCATTGCTTGTAATTTGCCTGGTCTGTTGTTGGTTTGTCAGCAGATTGACTTGGCGAAGTTTGGAGGAGAGATTTTATGCCTGGTAAAGTTAATTAATGCTTTTTGTTTGTGTCCCAGGTTCTGCTGATAAGAATTTTCTTTTTTATGGTATTAGTCATTTTGTAGAGAAAAAACTTGGATGCTCAAAGCTTGTATTATTTGCGAAGTAGAAGTATGTTTTTTTCTCCTTACTCTTTGTTGGGAAAACATGGAACAACCGGATACCAATTTACTCGGATCAATTCAGCGGAATACAATTACAATTCACAAGTTCCAATTCTTTCCCTCTTTGTGCAGTAAAACAGAATCAAACAATGATTAAATATAATGCAAATAATCACAAAATCAACACCAAGATTTTTAACGTGGAAAACCCGATGTGGGAAAAACCACGGGATCGTAGTCCACCCAAAAACTTCCACTATCAACAAATAATGGGTTCACAATCATTCTTCCTCAGATTCAACTAAGGGATACAACATATATATCATCAAGAACAACTTATTCTCGGATTACAACAAGATTAAAGGAGAATTATTTGAGAAAAACTCACAATACTGATAGCCCCGTTTTCTGTCAAAACAGTCACCTTCCACACCACCAATCTTCGATCCGACCGTTAGAATAAAGATCAACGTGTCTAGAAGCTGATGTCAAAATCTCAGCCCGATCCAACGGTGAACGAGCTGGAAATCGAAGAAAGAATGAAGGCTGCTCTGCTGCCTTTTCTTCTCTTTTTCTCTCTTGATTTTCTTCTCCTCTCTTCTCTTTTCAAATCTGTTGCTACAGTACCCGAACCACACTAATATTAACACCAAGAGACAACCATCACATGACATTTAATGTGATGGTCCCACCATCACATGGTGTGGGACCATACACAACAAATCTCCCCCTCACACACCATGTGAGGAATTCGCCATACCGGCGATCAATATGTAAAATTCAATTTAGGAGGCTCTAACAAGCCTGCTTCCTTTCTGCAAAACTCAAACTTCTCTCTCGGTAGAGGTTTGGTCATCATGTCAGACACGTTATCATCAGTATGGATCTTCTCAACAACGAATGACTTCATCTCCATAGCATCTCGAATCCATTGATATCTAACCTCAATGTGCTTTGATCGAGAGTGAAAAGTAGGATGCTTACTGAGATGGATTGCACTTTGACTATCACAGTGCAATACAAAGTTCTCTTGAACTAGGCCAAGTTCATGCAAGAACTTCTTCATCCATAACAACTCTTTGCCCCCTTCAGTAAGAGCAATATATTCGGCCTCTGTAGTGGATAATGCAACACATTTTTGCAACCTTGATTGCCATGAGACTGCTCCCCCTGCAAACTTCATCAAGTATCCTGATGTGGACTTTCTA